TCCTTTATGCTTTCCCACAGTACACCAATGCTTTTGGTAAACATGATTTAAAATAACAGTAAGGCAGATCGTTAAAAAAAAGGGCAGAAGGATGTAAGAGGAGTGCATTGGAACCAAAAAAGAGAAACATAAAATCAGCCTTGCAATTGAATACCTCCGCCCACTGATGCATGTTACGTTTATATCCATGTCTATCCAAAATGTCATTACATCATTGTATTATCCTATATGTATGTATGGTCAAAAACAGTTAAGGTAAGGTGGGTGTGTTTAGCGTAATTCAAAGAAATACCATCAGAGTGCTCCCGATACATACCCTTTTACAAGAATGGGAGGAATGTGCGGTCACGGTGAACTTGACCTTTGATCACCAAAGTCTAATAAGATAATCCTACAGTGCAAGGGGATGTTTGTGCCAATTTGAAGAAAATCTAAATTCTTACCAGATAGATGTAGGGACAAAATTAAACACAATGCTTCCGTCCCCGTCAGCCCGGAGGCAGAGCAAAAGACTAATGTGGAATATGTGACTAAATTAAATTCAAACAGCAGATGTACAAAGGCGTTTTAAATGACATACTGGATATTCATGAATAACTGCCTATTCCTACCAATCCTCCCCCTTTCTATCTATCCAGTAGTCCCTCCTCTCCTCTCTCCCACCCCCAGATTCATACACATAATGCTCTTGTTCTGGATACATAATACTGCCTACTGAGCCATTGTAAGCTATATAGCAACAAGTAACAAAAGGGTTTGAAATGCGTCTATGTTTGTGAGTTTCCAGTGTGTCAGAGGGTATAATGGCCTTCCATTTTAGTTGTGCACAATGGCTTTGAAACACATTACTTTTGTTCCAAAACAAAGCAGCAGTAAAAGAGAAGCACCAGCATGCAGTACTCCAAAGACTACACATGGAGATGCTAAGTAGCAACCAACGCATTAGCTGATTGACACCAGTTTCAGCTGCTTTGCAAATGTATACCCAAATGCAAATATACACACAGACAAAATGAGCACTTACCAATGAAGCACGCCGTAGCCTGCGGCTCATGGGTTTGTCAAAGGGGGGGCTGTTCATGGCAAACTTCTCCAAGTAGCCCTCCGGTAGCCTGATATCAGCTGGGAGAGATAAGCGCTTGTTGATGTCCTGAAACATAGAGATGGGAGGGGGGACAAAGAAAATAAGTTATAAACATAAATCACAAATAATAGGTTCAGAATTCAACAATCATTGCTTTTCCCTAAATTGATACCTGTAACCTTATGACCGTGATGGCAAGTATGAAGGAGGGGCTTCCATACTTACACATTGAAAACAACCATCCATTTATAATTATACATACTCAAGCTCAGTAAATATTTTATTTGGAATATCGTCCAGATCTTGCGTATCTTCTGTAACATTATTGAATTATTGAAAATCAAATGAATGAAGCAACATAGTCACATTTGATTAAAACAGACTCATCATTAATGAACTTCTATTTATCTGAAATTATGACAACATATTTTGTGTCCATCTCTGATGACTTTGACTAAATTGATCACCATGATCTGGCATCAAAAGTCTCCTTAAAGCCTTGATAACTTGGCTTACTTTTATGCATCATAAAAACAAACAGTGTTCTCCATCTGTCACTCCTGGCAATGAGTTTGTCAAGTGACTGTAGCTCAATTACTCAGTATTGGTCTACAGGTGCCATCTGCTGCTGTGTATGACTAATGACTGATGGTGTGAATGAAATGCTGTCTAATATAACTAAAGGAAAGCCCACTGCAAGGCCACTATGTGATGGCACTACTAAGTTTCAGGCTCATTGTAAATATATCAGCACATTCTAAACTAAAGCTCCCAAATTCATCTGGAACTAATCTGAAAATACCTTTTTATGATGATGATAAATATTTTTAGTGTGCACGCTTTATTTATTTTCTCTTCTGCCTAGTGTTGCTGACATTTTTGAGTCATTTTCTGCGTAGTACAGGGGGGACCCCATTTTTGTATGTAAAATTACAGATTATACTTACTTAACACATGTAGCATGAATACCTCTGAACTACCCACTCTACATCAACTAAAATAACACTCACTTCATTGGCTTCAATACAATTTGTGTGATGCTACCTTTCCCACAATGCATTGGCCCTACGTGTTATCCATGTAGGACATGTTCGCTGGAAAGGTGCCAATCACACGTTGTTTCCATGGCAGCGGGGGCTGGCTGGCCCAGTCCCAGCAGCCCCACGGTATGTGTCCTGGATGTAAGTGTGTGAAACGATATGCGTGTTTACATGTGAGCGTTAGAGGGAGGGTAGGAAGTGTATGTAAGCCAGAAGATGAAAGGCAGAGGGATTTTACGCCTATCATGGCTTTAAGCTCATTGGCTAACATACATACCAACATGCAGTATTACATACAAGTCATCATCCAAAAGGACCAGGTTACACCGCACAGTTTTCGACATACACTCACATGGGGAATGATAAGCAATGCTCTGCAGACCTCATAAAATCATTATGTAAAAATCAGCCTTGAACACATGCACTACCAATGACCTACGGACTTTGACCCTGAGTAATTCACACGGATGTAAGCTCCGCTGAATGTTTGGATCACAAAAGAGTGAAATACATGGAAGGCAAGCACTGCAACCCCATATAGAGTGAGAAAACACAATACATCTTATTACCTCCAGAAAAATACACATTTTCTTCTGCTTTTCTACAAATACTCTTCATAAGCATGCAAATAATAAAGCCAGCGGCTCCACCACAACAAACGTAAATTATGCATACTCCATTTCAAAAAGGGAAACAATTGACAATGACAACCCCACACAAAAACACATGTGTCCCCATACTCACAATGCAAAACAGCTCTAGTAGCTCCCTCATTGTCCTCCTTAAACGTGTCTTTCTATACACTCACACACATGCGTTTTCCACGATGCATGTCTCTGACCTGCCACATGACTGCACACACGCTGACAGAGAAAGAGGGAGAGAGGGAGAGAGAGAGAGGCTGGCATTGTGGTAGAGTGCCATCCAAATGCTCAGAGGAGGAGGAGAAAAGAGGGGAGGAGGAGGGGGTGAGTATGAGTGGAGAAGAGAGGAATAGACAGATTCCTGAGGGAAGAAAGGCAGATGGGGGGAAGGGGTGAACGGAAGGGGGTGGCTGAGAGGAAACATTGTTTTTTGGTTCTCACCCCCCATTATTTTGTCCTCCATCTCTCCTTCTCCCTCTTCTCTCTTATCAGCTCATGAGCCCGGTTCCTCTGGATCTCCTCTTTCTTTGTCATACCAATAATTACTCCTACTTCCATAATGACTCTCTCACCCCTTGCATTTCCTCTCATTTGCTTCCCCCCCTACTCTCTTTGGTAAAAATGGTCTCAATTAGTCCCTTCCACTGTGCTCGGCAGTCAGAGGCAGCAGCCTGCGTGTCCAGAGGCATTTCCCGTTATACTGCTGCACTCATTGCTCTGCAACTCCTTTAAACAGACACACAAACACACAAACACAAACACACACACACACACACAAACACACACACACTCTGGCAGGGACATGGGCACATACTCACGGATGTGGCAAAATAAAGCATCAAATAGCATGTTACCTGTCCACAGATAGAAGAGGTGCCCTTGTATAGAAAAGGTGACTAACTGCATGTTAAAGAAGATAAACGAAAAACCCCGGTCCGGTTCCCTGAAATAGTTTTTTTTATTGACTATATACACATTTCACAACAGAAAAATGTAGAAAATCAATCATTGTAAATGGATATGCAGTAACTTAGAGCTAACTACCATGATGCAGTGCACGGACAGGAAAGGAATAAGAACAGTTAGTATTGAAATGTTCCGCTTCTTGCCATCACATATAACCAAAATTATACTGGCATTTTTGATGGGGATACTGCCATCAATATTATGGAATTTAATATAATATTCTTAAAACATATACAGGTCATTTAAATCAGTTGGGGGTATATACCAATACTGTTGTATCTGCAGTAACCTAATATTGGCAAATACATTGGCATCAAACACACTGTATTGTCCTCTGCAAATAATTCCCATAGTTTGTAGTTTGTATGATGTAAATGAGTGAAACACCCAAACATTTAGGCAGTTTTGATGTTATATATTGTACTTCATATTGCGTTATTGCAACTATTACTGACTTTTTGGCGTATTTGATCAATATTACAAAATTAATATCAATTTGTACTTTTAAAATGTAAATGTTTCAAAAACGTTTACGCCAATAAAGCCATTAAATTGAAGCTAAATTGAATGTTTGCGAACAAAGCCAAAGAGTAGTGTGTGAAATGGTCTGAAACCTTCCATTACCTCATTAGAGATGCGCCGATGGTGGTTGTTCCTCATCCGGACCCGGACTGGACTCTGGACCTCGTCAGAAGATGTCCCAGAGGCCTGGTCGCTCTCCCCGTCTGATCCCATCTTCACATTCTCATGGACGATACCTACAACACACACAGACACAAACAGACTGTTATTGTCTGAAATGTGTTATTGTCTTTTTTATCAACACTAGTCTTTGGTACTGCTATTCTGCTTTGGCACTATGCCTCTTTAGCCCTTATCTCCTCTTCAAATCATCTCCATGCACCCATCAGAGGACACAGCCTTTTGTTTTTCTAATATCTCATTCACCGGTATGAGAAAGCCATAGCAGGGTCCCAATGCTAAGATGATGGATTGTACCACCAGCCATGCAGGGGTGTTTGCTGATTGTGTATAAAATACCATTTGTAAGATGAGGAGGTCAGAGATCAATATCACCCTGCATGCAATGAGAGCTTTCCCGTCTTTGCCTGCCACCCCCCACACCTCCATTTGCCCTAGACTCCATCTGATTAATGAGTCACGGTGCACAAGACAGGACTACTTCCATCAATGGTGTGCGGGTAAATGTGGGGGAAGGGTCTCTCTTTGGGTTTCAGTGTACGGTGCCTGATAACTCTCAAGTACAGTGCATACAGTGTGTGTGTGTGTGTGTGTGTGTGTGTGTGTGTGTGTGTGTGTGTGTGTGTGTGTGTGTGTGTGTGTGTGTGTGTGTGTGTGTGTGTGTGTTGACAATCTGATGACTAGTCATGGTGGTTATGTTGGTAGCATGACTCTGTCTTGTTTGTCAGAAGTGTGTGTTACCTGCACTGACAATTAAACATCGCGTGTGTCACATTCGCAGTTCTATTTCTTTGTTTGAGTGTCTACATGTGTGTATTTTTTGTATGTGTGTGTACATGAATGAGATTGTGTGCTGGCATGTGTGCATGTGAGTGTGTGTGTGTGTGTGTGTGTGTGTGTGTGTGTGTGTGTGTGTGTGTGTGTGTGTGTGTGTGTGTGTGTGTGTGTGTGTGTGTGTGTGTGTGTGTGTGTGTGTGTGTGTGTGTGTGTGTGTGTGTGTGTGTGTGTGTGTGTGTGTGTGTAGTGGTGATGGGTGGTAGTAAAAGTGGGGGTGAATGATGGAAAGATAAGAAAACAAGGATGCAAGAAAAAGAGGGAAATCTGTTTTCAGGTTTTCTCAGAGATAAGTGTATGTTCATACCTGCATAATGTCTTGCAAAGTTACTCTTCAGACCAAATCTTCTTTCATTACAGTACACATGTGCTCAGAATAAAAACATAATCGACAAAAGGTATGTTTTCGTGTTTGCTAAATAATATATATTACGTCCAGTAGGAGTTGTAGCACACACATTTACTTTAAAACTATATTTAAACAAGAATCAATAACGATAATTACACAATGTGTCCAAGTGATTTGAAATAGAAAATTATTGAATGCTTACGATAACTATTTGTTTGCTTGATTTTATTGTATTTTTCTACAAAATGTGATTTTAATGAACAGCCATTGTTGACTTTTATTCATTACAGTCTGTATTTAGTATCTCTTAATATGTTAATCATCCTTTATTTTTAATAAAGTATAAAAGCATGATTAATGCAAGGCGATTATCTTTTCATTATGTTTGATATTGAACGTTTCTACACTACTACTACTCATCTATTAGGTTATTATTAATTGCTCATCTCCGTAGGAAACAAAACGTTCAAAAGCCCAACAAAACCTACATACCTCTTCTTCTTCTTGTACATTAGTTAATTCAAGGAGCTGTTTTGAGACGGTTTGTATATAAAAAATGAACTGGTACATTGATGACACAGAATCATGCTTTTGTAATTGGACAGCTGATTCAAATTTTTGACTACAACTACTAAAGTTAGTGGGACATGACAAATAAAAGCAACGGATGACTGAGACGGACAGTGACAGAACACGTGAACAGTAGGAAGAAAACTTGGCATGGTTTAGTGACTGGGAGAGAAAACACAACCTGAGGCTTCGGCACATCCTGCATGTGAGCAGCCTTGGAGCAGACCGTTGGATTTATGACTGTGTTTGTTACAGTCCAACCCATGGCACAGGGCCAGGCCCTAACATTTTGCTGAGCTGTCCACGGATTTCAAGGATTTTGCAATTTAGTAAGAAGCAGTCTGAAGCTGACATGTACAGAAAATCAAACGTATTTTCTTAGAAAAAGCTGACTAACAGATGGTACCTGGAATACAGTAAAATAATGAGAAGTATATGTTTGTATATGCATGTATGAGCTGCCCTGCCCTCGTCTCAATACACTAGTTTTTAATCAACTCATCTGTAAAATGAGTTTCCTTACAAAGAATCATGTAAAAGGGCCATCTTACTTGAACGTTTCTTGGAAATAAGTCATATAGCTTAAACAAATGTATAAAGGATTAACTGGCAAATAAAACTTTAGTCCACTAAGACCAAAACAACCAGTTAGTCAACAAATGTAATAAGAGGGGGCAGTTCTCGTAAGAAAGATCTGATTGCTCAATATAAGTGAAGAAAGACAATTTCAGGAGGTGCCTTACGTAAGTAAAGTCCATACAGAGAACAGTTGGAGAGATTGTGCAACAAATTACTTGCATTATCAATTAATTGTAAATTGTAAATGTTTTGCTGAAATAGAAAAGTCAATAAATAACTATGTAAACAAAAACATATCATTACAAAGAACCACTTGCATGTGAATATTAGCCTACAAAATGCATTGATTTTAATAAGGAAATGATGATGGCAACAGCCAATGATTGGTGTGCTTCTCACAGCTGTGTGTGTGTGTTACGAGAACAAAAGGGAGAGGAAGGAAATGAGAGATGCAGACAGAAAATGCATACAGTGTGTGTGTGTGTGTGTGTGTGTGTGTGTGTGTGTGTGTGTGTGTGTGTGTGTGTGTTTCCTTATGTTTGGTAGAGAAAATTGCTTTATGAGAAGAACCGCAGATGTAAAAGCTCAACCCAAATGCTTCCAACATCTTACCTTATGTTTTCATTCTAAAACAGCCACCATAGGCAGAGTGACAGATAGAGGAAGATTATGGGATTGAGGGCAGCATGATTGTGTTGGGTAGAAGAAGAAAAGGAATAAGCGTGAAGAAAAATAAGTCCCTTGAGTGATTGTGACACGTCATCCGTGAGATTGGGCGATAGAGAGCCAAATAGATAGAGCTATTTATCATAATGTCAGCTATAGAGTGGTGCAACACCACCTGAGGCCAATTCTAGGTCATTTGAGTGTGTCTCTCTCATGTAGTCAAGGTTCGGAATAGAGAAAGGCAAACTGGTTTACGGATGTCCCTTTTGGGCATTGTACAGCTTTCTATTTACTAACTACTTATATGTTTGGTATTGCTGAAATGTATGGATTCATGGACACAATTAAATACTTAGAAATGTAAAAAAATGAATAAATGAACACAAGTATAAATGTATAATGTTCGAAAGTCTGTTATTATGGCATTTACCAAATGATACTTTATTTCATTACACTTAAAATACTTTAAATAACTGTGGTAAGGTCATAGCGCTCTTATATTGTTTGGTTAATCACATGTCCCCTGCCTCTTGAGCCTGCAAGCAGTGAACTACCTGTGCAGATCCAATCTGCTTATATCAGCCTACATCCTGTCCATCGCCATAACTATCTGTTGAAGAAAGCAGCATATGCTCCTTAGTAAAACACAAGTCTGATGTACTGCCTGTGGCCTTGTAAGCCAGACACAAGAATACACGGTATGCATACAGAATAGCTTGGTAAGAACACTGAGCAGTAGGTATTCCTATCAGGAATCAACCCTGATGGTGAAACATTAAACTCTAGGAAACAAACACCGGAGTAAAGGTAAATTGATCCAGGATATCTACATACTGACAGACGCACACATATGACCACATGCTCACGAGCAGGGAGTATCCAGTACTGCCATTATGGGACAGTTCTGTCTCACTTTCAGAGAGGTCTTGATCTTGCCTGTTTGCGTAAACAGTGGAGGAGATGCGGGTGGATCAGTCAAGGTGAGTGGCAGAGGAGGAAAATTCCTTCACCTTGGCCTTGAAAAAGTATTATACAATAATGTTCTGCTCGTCGCTACTCGCTTTGGATAAAAGCGTCAGCTAAATGTAATGTAATGCTAGTAAGTACAGCATGAGGATCTGTCTCTCAAAATAGCTTCCCTAACACACTTTTTTCTTAAAAGAACACAAACAAGTACACTTGCATGTACTTCCTAATCGCACAGGGCATTCTTTTCCATTCTCATGCAGGTTCTTTCTGCTCCATTTCCACAGCAGACTAGGGGCAGACAGTAAATGTCATGAGTTACCACTGCCTCCCTATGTGGAGCCCAGCTGGCCTAGTTCGGGTTGCTGACTCCCTAGCATGCCTGGAAAATTGAGTGGGATGCTTTTAGGACTATTCCAACTCCACTTAGCTAGAAGCCCATCTCCGGAACATGTTGGCAGTGCCTCAGAAAATTGAAAAGAGCAGAATGTTAAAGGAAGTAAAGTAAGTGTAAGCTGAACCCTTCAAAGAGCAATGGAAATCTTTTGTTTACGTCAGAAACCCTCCCTCGGCAGGGCATCGAGTTCAGTGGGTTTTTCAAAAGGGTACTGGTAGATGTATTAGTTACTGTCCACATCCAATGCATTACCCACACTGAGCTTTGAACTGAACATTTAACTTCTTCTTTTTGCTCTTAGGTCAGAGGTTGTCATAACAGTTTTTGAATAAAAGACACCATACGCTCCGATTTTGGCATGAGCTGCAAGAATAGAGATACCACAGCCATTGTGCTGACAAGCAAATAGATAAAAAATTCAAAAGATGTTCTTGCAGTCTGCGTGTTCCCTCAAGATCCAAACAGACACTGCCCAGGGCCACCCACTGCATGTCAATTCTTTAGACCAGCAACATAAAGGAATTTATGTTTAGAAATGAATAAATTATTATTAATAACATTTTCAAAGTTGTAGGATCAGCAGATTCTGAGAGAAATCTACTTTACATAAACCCATGTCTTTGTATCTAATAAATCCTCAGGACATGCGTTTGATCTGAATGTAATGTCCCAGTGTGGAATCAGTATATATGTTA